TCTCACTAATGAGGACATAAACACATGAACAACATCTCCAGAACTGCTCTGAGAGTCACTTCATCAGCATCTGAGTAAAACTATCCTCATGTCATACACACACAGAAATGTAAAGGTATTCACGGCAACCCGCCAAAATAAAAGTTTGGTTTAACTTGAGGGCATTGTGGCAGAAATATATTACTATCGTTCAGTAGAATGTACGTAACAGACTGCTACTACTGCTAAAATTATTAAAACCTTATTTTTAAGGAATAAGCATATTCTGCATGTCTCTGTGTTAATGAATGGCGCAGACGCGCGGTGTTGTGTAGTACTCGTACTGAAACGCTCGTGACGCTTGCGGTGATATTAACCTCTGCCGTCTCACTAATGAGGACATAAACACATGAACAACATCTCCAGAACTGCTCTGAGAGTCACTTCATCAGCATCTGAGTAAAACTATCCTCATGTCATACACACACAGAAATGTAAAGGTATTCACGGCAACCCGCCAAAATAAAAGTTTGGTTTAACTTGAGGGCATTGTGGCAGAAATATATTACTATCGTTCAGTAGAATGTACGTAACAGACTGCTACTACTGCTAAAATTATTAAAACCTTATTTTTAAGGAATAAGCATTCGATATTTCTTCAGCGTTTTAATTGTAATATTAAATTACCTTTATCCCCCCCCCCAAAGCCGTAAACCTGGGGGAAACACTGCACTGTCACAAATGTTCATGGAAAAAAGGCTAAATGTGTACATTAAATAATAGAAATACTAAAATCCAGTTTCATTGCTGATATATTTTCTCAGTTAATTTTGGACCTGTGACTCAATGCATATTAAAAAATACCCAGAGGTCTTGTGTTTAATGAACAAACTCTGGCTCAAAAAAAAATTTTTTTTAATTAATTAAAATCACAACTTATTAATAAGTGAAAATTATTAAATTATAATTTTTTTCATTAAATTCAATTTTAATTTCCAGAAGGGTTTTCCAAAATAATCACTCGACACTAGTATATATTATTCTCCTCACCAGAGGGCAGTGCTCTCACCGCGAATCACGCTCCCACTGCATGAAGAGCATGTCATGTTATTTTCCAGCTCTGACTCATTTGCTCTGCTCCGTGTGACCCGTGTGACGGTCTGCAGGCCTCGTGACTCAATGACCTCGAGTCAGCGCGCAGGAAACACAAACACTACAGTGTGTGCAAGAGCACTGTGTAAAAGCCTCGAGTCATGAGTGTCCGCTGCGTTCACAATACTGCAATGTGCTTAGTATGCATGCAACACTTGGATAATTTGCTCAAATGTGCAGTGTGAGGTGATGTATCCCACAATGCAATGCACTTAACTTCACCTTCCATTTCCAGTGTGATGAATGAACTGCAATAGAGAGCAACGATGCTTTTTTTTTTTTAAGAAGTGATTTTTCACATGAACCAAGAAACACAACAAATAACTCTAGAGAGGAACATTTTGATAAATATACGCACAATATTACATATTCCTTATATTTTTATCTTCATTATTTAATGTATATTTGAATAAATGTCATTAAAACAAGGTTTTATTACAGCTACCACTTAAATGTTTGTATTTCAACAACGAAGTGGAGTAAAAACATCATCATATCATTACAAATATGATATAAAAACTGCTTAAGTGCATTTTAAATGTTTGTATACAAACTTAACATGCAAAATGTAAGTTTTTTGCCACAGATGTTCACGGAAAAGGCTAAATTTACAAGCCATAATTTTTAATTAATACAATTAATCAATACAGTTTTAAAAAATACCCAGATCTCCTATTTAATGGACATACTCTATTCACCATTATAAAAACAGGAGCATTGTGATAAATATGTGCACTATATTAAATATTAATTCTATTTTTATCTTCATTATTTAATGTATATTTGAATAAATCTGTCACGAAAACAAGTTTTGACAGCCACGGTTTAAATGTTTATATTTCAAGGAGTAAAAATATCATTAAAACATATAAATAAAAAATAAACATTCAATATTCATAATAAACATTTACATTTAATTTTACATTTTATTAGTGTTGATTACTAAATACATTTTAGAAATTAACTGATTATTAAATACTTAAAAAATGTGAATAGTTAAATTTTTTTTAATGTTAATGGTTTAAATGATTAAAATCGGCTAAATGAAAACTTACATTTTGGAAAAAAATTCAGTACGCATACTGTGTGCACTATGTAGTAAACATACTAAAGTATAGTACGCTACACCAGACAGATAAAGTGTGTCCTGTACCTGAAAGTGGGCGGGCTTCCGGATGACGTGCTTCTGGGATTCGTAGTCGTGCTGCAGACGCGAGGCGGTGGAACAGGGGGTCTGTACGGGACGTCTCTGGGCTCTTTAGAGACACCCACGGTGTAGCTCTTAGGAGGAAGAGGAGGAACGCCCACTTCTCCCTGAGCGGGAGACGAACACTGTTCGTACAGGTGGAAGCGCTCCGATGAGGAGGATGAGGGAGACACACGGGACGGTTTCCTCTCACTCGTCTGGAGTTGCTGCGCCGGCCCTTTAAGAGTCAGGTGTTCTGGGCGTGGCCTTGGAGTTGGGATGGGCTTGGCTCGTCCGGCAGGTGTGGGCGTTTCCTTTTGTTCAGGGATGCTGATAGGCTCAGGAGTGGTCGCCATGGTTACTGATCCGGGCGTGAAGGGAACGGGTGGCCGATTGGGCATGACCCGAGGCGGGACGGGAGGCGGGTGTCTACCTGCGACGCTGTTTTCCGTCACCCCGTCGTTTGCAGTCCTTCTGAATTTGGTCCTCTCTCGGGCGACGGGCCTGTCCTCCTCTCGCTCCTCGTCCTCCTCCATCCCCGCCGCCGAGGGGAAGAGCTTGTGCAGGCTGCCGAGGATCCGCTTCCTGTGGCCGGGCAGAGCCACGCCCATCCGCTGCAACTGGGCGGAGCTTAGATCCTGACACTCCCACAGCGTTCCCAGCCCCGCCTCCTGGAAGACGGAGCAGTACTGGTCGAGCCGGAGGGCGTTCAGCCACTCCTCCACAAGCTGGGAACTCTCCGGCGGGACGGAGGACATGACCGGAACGCCGCCGGATCCTCGGGAATGCTGCAGGACTTCTTCTCCACGGGACGAGGTCAGGGAATCATCGCCGGAACAGAACGTCTATTGAGGGAGAGAGAGAGAGAGAGAGAGAGATCATCAGACTGATCAGAATTTATAAAGACTAGAAATTAATTTGATGTCCAGACTAAACCAAAGAAAGTAAAGAATGATGAAGAAGTCATGAAGGTTATGATGATAATGTGTGTTCTGGATGATTTTGTAAATGAAAGTGTTATGCTTTATTTATTTATTGAGAGTCAGAATTTATTTATTATTTATCTTTTGTTACATATATTTGTAACAAATACATATATACTAAAGCAATAAGCCCTGTGAAAAAAAACCCTTAGCTGTTATAAATTCATTGTAAACCACGGCTTCTCGGGGCTTATTGCTTTTATAAAACGGTTATATACGTAGTAAGGTTTCACAAAATAAAGCAGAGCAAATCAAGTGTAATGATATTAATAAAAACAGTATTCTTCCACCAAACAATGTAGCGCCTCAGAAACAGTTGTGGTTGCTACAAAGTGGTTGCCGAGCAACACACAAACGTAAACAAAGGTGTGTGTTACTTTGTAGCGTCATTTACAACAGCTTCGAACGCGGCTCAGCCAATCAGAGCCAAGCACCAGAACTATCGGTTTTATAAATATATTTTGGGGATTGTTTTTCACTTTTTGAATGCACATTGTATTAAAGCAGCTTGACAGAGAAGTGTGTCTTCAGTGGTCCTGTGTACAGAGCTACAGCAAACATGTGAGCGGGTCAAAGGAGACTTCAGGCAGGTCAAAACCCCACTCCATATACTGTATTTACTGTACAACACAAACCCATCTCTCCCCGAAACTGAAACTAAAGGCATGAATGTTCCTCATATTTTCATCACATGTGGGGACAGATTACACATGGATTCAGGCATCCGAGACATGTTTAAAATGTCTAATCAATTGAATAAAACGTCACACAATTAAAACATTTCTAAATTATTTCAGTTTTTTCTTTTATTTAATATCACAAATGAATGCATGAATCTACATTATAACAGATTCATTCAATTGTTTCATTATGTTGCAGCAGCTAATAAAGTTACTGGCCAGACACCAAAAAAACGCCATTATATTTCTGCAGGTATATTTAAGACGTTTTTTAGACCTTTTTAAGACCAAGTATATGAAGTCTTGTTTCATGAGAAACTGATCAGAACGGATTTTATGATTACAAACAAAAACAAATACAATATGTGCCGATGGCCTCAGAAAAATCTGCGTAATTCAAAGGAAAAACAAGTTTTCATTCCCCACTGACAGATAGATATGACAGATATTAAACAAACTCTTCTTCATTTTGGTCATTTTCTCAAAAAAACAAGACTTCATATCTTCATTTTGCTTCTCAAATAAATGTTTCTTGATTTAAGGATGTTTAGTTATATGTACTGGAAAACAAGACAAAAATACTGAGGAAGATATTCAATATTAGTATTCATTTATACTTATAAAAAAAATGTTGCAGTGCATGCAGCATTCAATGCCATTACCTTATAAATTTCTGCTCTGATTTAAGACCTTTTTACACCTTCATTTGTGGAAGGAAAAATTAAGACTTTTTCAGACCCTGTAAAAGCTATTTTTAATCCAATATGGCACTTGTCACATTTGGACCCTTCTCACATATTTATCTTACATTAAATATGACTTATTCTGCAGCAAAACACACTCATACAAAACAAACTAGTATCAATGCCCACATCACTAAGACACCAGAATTTCAGAAAAAGCTCATTTCCTGCAAGCAATTTCCTGTTCCTGCACAGATAAGATTCGTTTTTCCAGTTGAGCTCATTATCAGTCAGATGAATACAGATATTATTAGACCATGTCTTCATAAACATGACATCTAAATCACTGTATGTGATGTTTGATGTTAGACTTCTGTGTTAATGTTTATAATATAATGAAGCTGTGCTGCTGAAACGTTCTGGAACGAGCGACTGAAGCTTTCGGCCCGAGACGAGAGCAGCTCCTTCCACCTCCAGTGCTTTTCTGTTTAACACCGGTTCCTCAAACGCTGTGACGATTCATCATCACTAGCATTAATCCTATCTGTAAGGCACAGCACAAGATCACTGAACCTCTTTTACTCCAAACACTAGTTTAATGGTGCAACACTTTAAATATTTAGCAATGTTTGTGTCGGTTTATCCTACGGTTGGTGCAACCGACCGCAGTTGCTTAAAAATGCTGAAACATGAAGCTACTTCAGAGAAGCATTAGAGACGTTATACAGACCAGATGAATCACATTCAGGCATTTCAGAAAGCCGCTGTAGGATCATCACATGACTGACTTCCAGAAGAGCGAGACTTTCAGGTTACTGTAAAAGTGAACATGCCAAACGCTGCATGTGCTTTACATGAAACACTCGTCAATCATTTTCAGCCAAAGGCACTTCCTCCTCTTTATGATATAATTAGCTCGAATCAGGAACTATAATAAGATATCATACTAATCTCAAGATCATCTGTTTGGGTGAAGCTCTGAGGGTCATTACAGGTTTAATGATCAAATTTATTCCAAATATAATAATTAAAAGCAGTATCAGCAGTATCTCACACATATAAACACCAAACCAAGCAACTGTGTTTTTAGTTGCTTCCTCATTTAAAAGTATCATTTTACCAGAAGGTGCATGTGTTAAATACAAACAAACACTTCAAAGTGTGAAACGGACAGGGTGTGTGTGTGTGTGTGTGTGTGTGTGTGAGAGAGAAGTGGGTAAAACCGCTCAGCGTGCTTTGCTTATCAGCTCACGCACACCAGCTATACAGACGTTAACACTGAATGTTTAACGTTATATTCATTGCACACATATACTTCGTAGACATCCTTAATCTCTAATAACTCCATTCTGCTGTCTGTTGTTGGTGTTTCATTGCCTGAATATGGCACTTAACACATGCTGTGTGGTATCGGCGTTTGGTATCGGGGCATTTTAAGGAGTACGAGTACAGGAGCTCAGTATCGGTATCGGTGCATCCCTAATGCTTACCATTAAAGTTATAAAACGTATTCAGTCAAGAGCAGAAAGGGATTTTCTTTGTCTTCTGTTCTTTGATTAACATGACAGACAGCAGCAGGAATATTGGACTGCGGCCCCTTTAAGAGTTTATCCACGGATACTGTTACACAGCATGGTATACAGATTAATGGTACAGCATGGTACACTCATTTTGGTATTTGTGGCTCACAAGCTGTTTGAGACTGAGCACAGATTGTGCGATCCACTAATATTGATCAGTTCTGGTGCGCACGCATTTGGTGTAAGCGCGAAACCTGCGGGAATGACTATAATAATGCGCAATACAAGCATTTAACCGGAGCGAATGAGAAGGGGTCGTCGGAGAGAAGAGAGCGAGATTGCGTGGCTGACGTTATTGCCTGTGCCGCTGGTAACAAAACGGATCGGCTCGGAATCAGAAAGAAGTGAGACTGACCGACCGATCACCGATCCGGGCCGATCATGAGGAAAATCGTCTGATTTCGATCCCTGGCCGATCGATCGGTGCATCTCTAATCTTCAGGTCACGTGCGTTTGCAGAAACACCATCAACATGAAAACACACAAAAGAGCAGCTCATCTGAGCATGAATTTCAATCCAAAGCATCCCAAACATCCCGCGAGACTGTGAGCAGTGCATCAGAGAACAGGGCGTGTGGACGAGTGAGATTTGCTGAATCTGAACGTATAGTTTGCCTGCAATAGAAAAACCGTGAGGAACACAAGACTGAAGCTGCCACTGTATATCAGTCCGAACACTGCTTTACAGGACAAGAGTTTGACTCGCATTTGCGACTAAATATAGATGTGTGTGAACTGTAACTTTTAAGTTTAACTGTAACTTGTAAAGTTTAAGGCCATAAAGTCTTAAATATCTAATGTGTATTAAAACTTCAAAAGGTGATGATATAAATACAGGCCTTCTGCACAATGAATACTGTGCATTTATGCCAATAAATAGCTTATGATCTCCTCAACATTATTTAGCATTGCATTCAATACATAGATTTTACAAGTATCGGCACAATAACCGGTTTATAATATTGCCCATATATAAGCATTGCCTTTTGAAGTTTATATAATCCGTATAATTATCACTATTCCTTTTTTTCCATTCCAAATTTAAGACCTCTTAAAATGCTAATTGAGACATTTGTGACCCTGGAGCACAAACCCAGTCATAAGGGTAAATTTTTTTAAATTGAGATTTATACATCATCTGAAAGCTGAATAAATAATCTTTCCATTGATGTATGGTTTGTTAGGATAGCACAATATTTGGCTGAGATGCAACTATTTGAAAATCTGGAATCTGAGGGTGCAAAAAAATCTAAATATTGAGAAAATCATCTTTAAAGTTGTTCAATTGAAGTTCTTAGCAATGCATATTACTAATCAAACATTAAGTTCTGATATATTTACGGTAGGACATTTACAAAATATCTTCATACTCGTATCTGCCAGAGAGAGAGCGGTTAGTGAGAAGTGAAACAAACGGCAGGTTTGCGATTGTGAGCTCACGTTAGCGCTGAAGTTCTCAAATCCTTACTAAAGCTGACACACACACACACACACACACACTCATGACTCAGTCTCACCCCTCCTGCATCTGACTGATCATCATGGTTACTCAACCAATGACCCTTGACCTCTGAATGTGTCAAACAGTTGAACCTAAGGCATCAGACTAAGAGATTGTTCAAAGGAATCATAAGGTGAAATTCAATCAGACTGCAGCAAAACACACAGTATTGTTGGATATTGTAGACAGCGAAGAACACATTTATGCTGACTGCAAAAAAACAACCAGATGAAGGCATCTTAATAGGGTTTCCAAAGTAGGGATGCCCGAATACAATGATCCCATTTTGATAATTATTTTTATCAATATATTTTTGTGTTAAAATGCAGCCATACTGTGTGAGTAAAATATTACATGTAATATTTAAAAAAAAAAAACTTAATCAAATAACTGTTTTCAAAAATCAAATAATAGGCTT